AATGTACTACCCGGAACTGACGCGGACCGTCAATTATTTGAAAGATGGACCTGAACCCGGCCGGGAAGACACAGACCCGACTGGACCCGATCGGCACATATTCCACAGCAAATTGCTATTAACAAGTCGATAAACAAGTTGTGAAAATTAAACTTTTTGTCTTACCTAATGTAAGAAGCCTTCTCCCTTGTACCTGACTGTGATGCACACAATCCTCCTTGCCAAGAAAGTTCCATCCGTGTTATTCCTCTCTTGCCAATTGAAATGCGTAATCCACTCATTATTCCAGTTTCAAAAGTCCACTTGCTGTCACGGTGATGGATGACAAATGCGACTTTGCAGTTTTGCATTTTTTGTATCTCGAGTCAACTTGCATAATAATTTAGACTGTTTGCCCATTTGGATTATAATAACGATTGCTCGTCCAGTGCCGTGGCTGCTGACGTTAGCTTTACTTATTTGCTATCATCTCTGTGCTCTCTGAGCCGAGTCTGAGCAAAAATTTTAGATATAACAGACAGACGGTTCATTCATAATATTATTTAAAAAATAATCAATAATAACTCACATCACTCATGAAGGTATCCATTATCACCGCGCGTGTGCATTAACTCCGCCCACCCTGCTTCTGATGACGTCGCTCGTGTTTTTGGTTTTTTTTCCACCTTATTTCAAATGATCGACTCACACTTTTCTCATCCTAATTTTACAAGTTGAAAGTTACAAAACAACACACGCACAGCGCTGACTGACTCTGATAACGGCCGGGTGTTCTCCGAGTCCGATCGACTCGGGTAATACCCACAATGTTAAACAGACCCGGGACCCAAAGTAATAGATTGGGACCCAACCCGGACCCAGCAGACCATTTAAAATATAGCCCCGAACCCGTACGGATCCCGAGTCCTCGGGTCTCGGGTCCTCCGTTAACCGGGTTATTATTTATTTATTTTTTAACAATTGGGTGATTCTTAGACTATGGGCACTTTTATGTTCTTTGGTCATATTTATAAAAATACATATAATTTTGGACAAATTCCTCTTTCTTAGTCAAACTAACAATAAAACCACCTTAAAAACTTTTTACTACCTTTCTATTATGATTTTTTCATACTTTTCAACCTCCTTATAGGTGTCAAAATCACTGTTTTCTCCTTGTCGCACACCCAGACTTTTAAACTTCAACAATGAAAATACAGTTTAAAAATATGACTTATCTGGTAACTATTAATGTACCTGAATTAAGCACTAGTAAAATAATTAAAATACATAATAGTATTTAATGTGAGACCACGATCAATATTACTTTCTATACAAAATATAGCTGTCGCACAATATTGGTGTCATTTCCACCACAACACTGTAATGTCCCTTTAAAAAGTTTGTGTGAAAGATTGTTTAGGTGGTTTCTATGGAAATGTTCAGTGACATCAGAGCACATGTTGGACATGGAGGGAATTTAAATTTTCATCAACAACAAATCAAGAAAAATCAAGGTATATATTGCTTGATCAGTTAATATATTTATTCTACGTCATTCCAAACATGCTGTACCTTCAAGGGTGTTTTTAAAAAGCTAAAAATTTTAAGTTAAATAAGAGTATTTTGCATACATGAAATGCTAAGTATTAATTCAAAGCTAATCAGTGAAGCTATCTTCAATTTTTTTCACAAAAAACTACAGAAATGTCATTTCCACCACACTGCCCTCTGTGGTGGAAATGACAGCATGTGGTGGAAATGACATTTATGGTTACAAAGTACAATTGATATGGATTGCGAGAGTAGATTTGTGTAATACTTTTTATATTATAATATATTACAATACTTTTTATATTTATATTATGATATTATTTTTTATTTCTAAATCATATTACTTTTATATTAATTGATTTCATTTTTATCTATTTTTAAGATGCCACCTAAGACAACAAAAGAAAGGTCACAGGCCTATAGGGACAAAATAAAAGCTGGCCCTATAAAATATGAAGAGAGACTTAAAAGAGACAGGGAGAGATACCTGAGGAAAAAAGAAAAAGGAGTAAAAGCAATTGCAGATCTGTCAAAGCGGGAGCAACGCAAACAAAGGATTATATTTAAAACATTAATCTCCACATGAATTTAATTGCGCTCATGCCACCTCTGAGCCTCATTGAATGTCTGAAAATGTACCTACAAGCCACTTTTGTGTTCTTCTGTGCCACCTCTGTAGTACAAATTAATTTATTAATACTAATTTCATATGATTGGTAACTTATTACTTAACTTATTTGTCTTATTCTACTTATTATATTGTTTCAAATAGAAATTTTAAAAAGCTTATAAACATACATTTTTTAATTTTACAGATGAAAATGATGCCATTACAAAGGTAAAAAGGAATACAGAAATATTAAATGATTTAAATAACTGAAATTATACGCTAAAAATGAAACTAAATCCGCCAGCAGGTGGCGGCAAGTCACTGATTTTATCACTGAGTCATTCATTCAATTGATTCGTTCGAACGGCTGAATCATTCAGGAATGAAGCATGTGACTCTCTTTATGAACTGACGGAAATCCGTCGTAGCGACGGAACACTTTAATCCCTGTGAAGTTAAAGTTCATATAAAGAGGAAACTTAGGAAATTCCAAGTTGTACATAACCGGTTTTTCTGTGATCTCAAATGTTGGTCTCCCTAAACTTGCCCCTTTAGCCAGCAGCCACTGGCTAATTATGCCTCTATTACGGTGCCAAAAACTCCCTCTGTTTGGACTTGTGTTGAGCTGCTCATAGGAACTTGAGGTCATGATTTTATAGCCAGCCATCACTAGATCCACTGACCCGCAGGGATGGGGCTGTCTTCTTCTCTTCTCTAGCTGGCACACGAGAGACCAAGGCAATGCTTCTGCTTGAACTTGTTGGTGCTACGAGTTTGCCGTTATACCTCCGGGAGAGCTGTCTGGGTGATTGACACATGCAAATACACAAAACTCTGCGGTCAGTGGTCAACCCTGCAACATACATGTGTTTATGATTGTTGTTTCAGCTGTTCTCCTCTCTGTCCTGGTTTTCTTCTTTTACTGTAGTGTTTTTAATCTTTCTCGAGACATCCTTGTGTGCTGCAAAAGAGTTCGACTCTCACATACCTCTACTGATTATCAGGAACCGCCAGTTGTCCATCTGTTTGTTTGTTTGTTTGTTTTCTATTGCTGTTGAAAGATGGACATTAATTCAGATTCACACCTCAAAACGCAGAGCATGTTCAATCAGTGTTTTGTTATAGTGATGCCTTTTGTAAGCAATAGAATTGCTCCAGTGGTTTTACATGTTTTGGATTACACATACAAACGTACACGCCAACGTAGATATTCAACAGACTCAAAGTCATTGCACAGACAATCAATGTGTTCGCAGAGAGTGTTATAAAAAGATGTGGAGAGAAGTAAGGGCCACAGCCAGGGTCCAAAATTAATATTTTGCCACACCTGACAGTGTTTACTCTTCGCTAAGCTCCACGATACCTTAGTTATGGTTGCT